ATTGATATTTTATTATAGTCTGTAGAAAGTGATCAATAATTATTTTGTAGAACTTTTTTCTCATTTTGTGAAACTAGTTTTACATGTAGAAAAAAGTCAGGGTACCCTGAAAATCAATACAGTGTCAATGAAATGTCCTCACTGAATGACAACGTACATACGCAGCATAGCAGTGAAAGCACATGGTCCCGGCAAGGACGGCTCCTAAGATACACAAACCACTTGGAAAAGACCTGAATAAATGTGGGATTAAGTGTATGATAAATGTTTCATTTCTGAAAAGTGGGAAAATATATTATTTACAATCAGATTTGGAATGATTAGTTGTTTAGGGAAAAACATCTGAATCTTTCTATACCAAAATAAAAACTTAGACTATGGCCTGTCACATGTTACTCTGTAACCTTTTGGCTTTATTTTAATTTACTAGTAAATTGTAATTTCTTATTTTTATTAAAAATATACATGCTCACCTTGGCCGATTTGGCTCAGCGGTTGAAGCATCAGACCTCAGACCAAGGGGTTTGATTCCTGGTCAAGGGCACATACCTGGGTTTCAGGTTCCGTCCTCATCCTGGGCAGGGTCGTACGGGAAGCAGCCAATAGATGTGTCTCTCTCACATCTCACACTGATGTTTCTCTCTCTCTCTCTCTCTCTCTCTCTCTCTCTCTCTCTCTCCCTCCCTCCCACCCTTCCACTCTATCTAAAAAAATCAACGGAAAAATATCTTCAGGCAAGGATTAACCAAAAAAAGAAAAAGTTAAAGTAGAAGTAAAATAACAGGGAGATTTATAAGAAATAAAAATATTAATAACTTCTATTCTCCCCTCTTTCAACCTTAATCAATGAAGAAAATTAAGTTTAAATTAAATCCCTCCATTCCATATTCAGCTTCTATGTAAGTTAGAATTTCTTTTCTAAAGACATGCTATTCATATTAATATGAAACTTAGCCCAGCCAGTGTGGCTCAGTGGTTGAGCATTGACTCACAGACCAAAAGGTTGCTGGTTTGATTCCTGGTCAGGGCACATGCCCTGGTTGTGGGCTCAATCCCCAATGCGGGGCATACAGGAGGCAGCCAATCGATATTTCTTTCTCATCAATGTTTCTCTCTCTCTAAAAAAATCAACAAAACATATTAAAAATGTGTGTGTGTGTGTGTGTGTATGTGTATGTATATACACACACAACTTACTCTTTTTCACTTAATAGGGATATACCTCTAAATCAATAAATATAATAACAATGCATTTTAAAAATATAGACTCATTCTATAATATATAGTGTAACAGAGTTAGCAATTTTTTTAATGATGGGCACTCTAGTTGTCTCGAGTTTTCTGCTTTTTCAAGCAATCCTACAATTGCTACAATAACTGCTATTGTACATATGCCATTATATGATGGTACTTTTATTTCTCTAGGAAGCACAAATAATAAAGCATTGCTGGCACAACAGTATATAGATATTTGCAATATTCAAACACATTTCCACTGTATGAGACTTCTTATTTTCTAAGGTTATTGAATTTTTTAACGTCAACAATCAGATGAGAAGAAACTGGTGTCCCACCCTTTGATTTACCTATTTCTGAATAATATGGAAGTAGGACATCTGTAATATGATTATTAATCACTTGTATTACCGCTTCTATAACGTTTGGAACCTCTGCCCATGCATCGTCTGGGTTGACTCATTAATCTCATTTAAGTTTTCAAAAACTCTTTGATTAACAGAGAAGTTATCAGTTAGCCTAAAATATGCATGGCAAAAATTTTTTCACTTGGTTTCAAGTTTGGTGAGTTGTTATTTTAAAAATACACTTTAAAATGTGCATAGTAAAATTTGCTATCACATAGTTTACAGCTTCAAAATGACCTTTGTAAACCATACAGCCACTGAAATTGAAAAGCATACCCAGAATAAATTGGACTAAATCTACTGATTGTTCTCTGCTTTGTAACGTGTAGAATGTGCACATGTGTGTGTATGTGTGTTCCTATGCACACATATATAGACAATTTTAAAATAAAACTACTGTCAGCAGTATCTACTGATACATTCTGCTGGCCACTTTGAACAGGGCTCTCTCTAGGATAAAGGGCCTTCCACCATGCTGTGATTCAGTCAGCTTTCCTCCAACAGGCATATTGCGGTTCTTTATCTAGATACAAAAGCCACACCAAACTGAGCACACGGATTCTACAAAATATACAAATCAGTAAAAAAAAATCAATACTTTACAGTTCAGTGTAAATTGTAAAAAGGGAAAATATCTCCATTGTTTAAACTAAAGCAAACAAAGGAATATTTTTTGAAGCAGTGATTTTTTTCCTCACGACATTTATAGATTGACCTCATGCATTCTTCTGGAAAGTACTGCTTTTCTAGGAAAACTATCAAGATATAGAGCCCAGGTCCCCAGTTTGATGACTCTGAAGCGTGTACTTCCAATGGAGAGAGACAGCTGCAAGGACAGCCTGCGAAAAGGAAGCGGGGCAAAGCGGACTGGGGGTACCACGGGATGGAGCGCCCTGTGGAAACTGGAGCTGTCATCCAGGTTGTACAGAGTAAAGAATGGAGTACTGGCCTAAAACTCCACTGGATCACAGAAACCTAACACAATACAACACTAGAGACATCCTTTCTCGGAGTCAGAAGGCTCACTGACTCTGTGATTCAATTACCCTCTCAACCTGGAAAGAAACCCCTCCTGAGCCAGGTCCAGGCGAGCAGTGTGGGAGGCTGCATTGTCCACAGCTGATAAATATCTAAAAAGCTGCAGGCTTTAAAAAACTAGAGTCTCTGACCTTTTATAATTGCTACAGTGACTCTTCAACAAAACGCGGCTTACAAAGAGTTCCGTAAATGCCTGGCAAAGATTTCATTTTCAATTAAATATCTCCAGATATCTTTTCTTCACATGGAAATCCGCTTAAATCCATACCTAAGTGCAACACTTCGTTAGCTGGTAAAGAATGTGGACAAATGAACAAAACAAAGTTTTCTTATAGTAGAGATGATTCTGAACTTACTCAGACATGTTATAAACTTTTTAAAGAATACCATTATTCCTCTTTTGTTTTTTCTTTATTATTTGAATGAAGAGGGCATACACTAATTGGAATCTCCGAGTCACTATTGCATTTTAGAATATCTCCAGAGAATTTAGCTAGCATGAATCATAATTCCAGTATTTCCTCATGCCTGAAGTCAGGAGTACTACCTTGGGTCTAATTGTAGCCAACACATTTTAGACTTCAAACTTTGCACATTTTATCTCACTCCTTTTCTCATGAGGTTATAATTAAATAAGATTTCATATATATGTTTCACATAGCTATTTATTTTCACAGAGGACAAAATTCCTGTGATGATGTCTGTTTGGGATACTCCAACGTTAGCACATGGGATTCCTTCCCAGAATCCTTCTAATTAGTTACAAAACAAATACATACCCTTGATTATTTCCTAACACCTACAGGATTAGGTCCCAAATACTGAGCACAGAATTCAAAGATGTTCATGACCTAATCCCGAGCCAATGACTTTGTCTCTTTCCCGTCATTTTTTTTCCATGTGACCAAGGCTCTTGTCTAGCCACAGTGAATTTATGACATTTCCCCTAAACCTGCCATGTAAATGCCCCCATTTACTGCTTTTTCATACCTTAAACATTATTCCTGGGTTGCAACACTAACCACATTGAATTATGGTTATTCTTTTAATATATCTGTTCTTGCTCATAGATCATGAACGCCAAAAAGGCATGTGTGTTTGGTACAAAGTAAGTGTTCAATAAATAACAACTACAGAAGTAGTAATCACTTGTATGGTGTTTACCATACTGAACAAACAGGAAAATTAATAATTCCATATCAACAAAATATTTCCTGAATAATTATTATGTTAGAGATTTTTCACATGCAAGCATTATTCAGTTTATACCACAGCCTTGTAAAACAGGTATTATCTTTCATAAATGAAAGTAAAGAGATAAGTAATTTTTTCTGGATTCACAATAAGTGGTCAACCTAAAAATTCAACCTAGACGTTAATAAATCTGATCATGTAGGTTAATACCAGGGCCTTCACCTCCATAATAACCTTTAATTCTTTTGAAATCCTATAGCTATATACATTTATCATTTTTCTCCTAAACTATTTTTAATTGGCATATTGAGAAATGATTCTCATACAAAGAAAGTCACTTGGCTGTTGAAGGAGCACGACTGGATTTGTGTCGCATTTTAGAACGTAAGTACTAAGCCTTGGGAAAGGATTCTCCACATCCTTATGGGAAGACTTTCTTCAGCTTTTGTTCATTTGTTAAAGGATAAGACACGAACAAAAGATACTACTAATGAATCATTCAATCAACCAATCATTCACTTACTGAATGAAAACTGGGCTTAGCCTTACATTAATTTCAAAACTTAGAGATCAAAATTCCTTTTGTTTTATCCATGCCCTATTATTATTATTTTTTAGGACATTTTTTGTTTACAACCCTATCAGTCTCTATAAATTATTCCAACTCTCGAAAAAATGAACTGAATGTCAGTGAAGTGGAGAAGCCCATCCCATCCCTTTGAGGTGTCTTGGTGTGCCAGATGCGACACCACGCACACTTAAAGGCATTTCACAAGTTAGAAGTGTGTTTCACTTTCACCATCAATGACAGTTTCTATCTATAAGCATTTAGCAAACTGAAGTGAGAGTCAATCTATTCAGTGACTCCCTAGATTAAAACACCATTCAACATAAACTGATCTCAAAGACAATGAACAACAATATGCATTTTCATAATAGTCATATCATGGCTTGGAGGAGCCTAATAAGATGTGGCACATTTTCACGTACCTATAGAAACCAAATTTTTAATTCTTTCACCCAATCTACAGCATACAAGCCTTATGCTTTGGCCAGGGGTCACAAAACAGATCTCGATCAAATGGTTTTAACAGGTTTCATTCGCAGAGATAAATCTGAACTTACCTTGTTTGCGATACTTGTGATGAACGATTTGATATCTAGATTCGTTGGACAGCTCTTCTGACACGGGGCATCTGCACATTTTAGGCATCTAGGAAATACAACAACTGGATTAAAGAAACTACCAAGTAACTGAGATAATATCCTACCCACCCACTACCCTAGACCCATTCAGAGCAAGTGAAGAGGCAGATCAAATACGATTGTACTACTTTCAGGTGAACACTATTTGTGAGCGATCAGGCACACACAGTTTCACTCTTTGCACAGCAGCAGAGAAGTATAAAGTGTCAGGTAGTAACTGCCCTGCTCTTGGCGTCCCTCCTAGAATTTGGAGGATCAGACCTACTTACGATCCATCATTCACTCATTGACTACACGATTCTTGTTTGGATCCCATGCTACATGGATAACACTAGAGAATGAAATCCCTTATGGTAGCAGTTTTGTGGGCCTTCTGCACCACAATTACCATACAAATGGAGACGGTGAAGTTTCTCGTTGTACCATTTGTAGCACCCTTTCTTCATCCCTTCACCCTCCACCTTTCCTCATTCCCTCCTTCTGTTGTCATCATCCCTCCCAGCCAGTTTTCTGATGTCTGCCACCTGCCTACTATCCACATGGCACCTAGGCTTTGGGTAGCTGCACAGCGCGCCGCCCACGCCCACCTCCTTCCAGGCTGACGCGTGTGCTGTCGTAGATGCTGTGCCTTCAGCTGAAGAAATCAGGCTCAGCCAAGGTCAAGCCTCCCTCCCATGGCAGTCCACATGCCATTACAGGTCAGGGGCTTAGAGGCCCAGGCCTGGCCCTCATCGGGGACGAGGTCTGCAACGGCTCACTGCAGCCTCGAGTGTGTCTATGTCTGTCCAACCTCGATCCCTTTTCTCACACGGACGTCAGTCTTCTGACCTCCTACGTACTCGTGTCATCTCAGAATCTGCTTCTGGGGGATCTGAGCAGAGATGTTTCCAAACTCAGAACCACCTGGGAAGCTTGACCAATGTCACAGGTCCCACAGAGGAGCCCCTCATGAGGCTGAGGGATGGGCCTGAGGATGCATTTGGCAGGGTGAACCCTTTGAGGAGATTCCGATGTACATGGTTGGATCCAGTTGGTGAGAAGCACAATTCTATACCGACTACTTCCGGACTGAAACCCCTGTGTAGAATGGTCTTTGATTCCATATTAACGTATGCTTGTTCACTTATTCATTCATTTCTGAAATTGTTGGTGAGTCCCTATGACGTAGCAGAACCTGGGACGTGAGAATACTAAGTAAGAAGACAACCAAGGTCCTGCTGCCAGGGGCCTGCAGTTTGGAGGAGTTCAGATCACAGAAGGCACTGAAAGCAGTTGGTGTGAATCCGGGTGGTGCCACGGAAGCAGGCAGTGCTGCAGGGAGAGCGTCAGGAGAGGGTCCCTGGGAGGCGGGATGCTTCGCGGGAAACTTGAAGAATGCGTGGGCACTGGTGTGTCTGCGGGACAGGTGTCTGTTCCGGCCCTCGGCCCACTTTTCAATGGGATGGTTGGTTTGTTTGGTGTTGAGTTGTATGAGTTCTTTATATATTTTGGATATTAACCCCTTGTCGAAGCTGTTTGCAAATACCTTCTCCCATTCAGTTTGTTGCCTTTTTGTTTTGTGGGGGGAGGGTCGTAAAAAAGAAAGGGGTGATGGAGGAGGATTTGAGATTTTGGGTGGTGGGTACACAATGCAGTATACAGATGATGTAGACTAGTAATGTACACTTGAAACCTGTATGATCTTATTAACCAATGTCACCCCAATACATTTTATTAAAAAAGAATCGGTGGGTATTAGGGAAGTGAAGGAGGGTGGGGCTTGGAGATCAGGGTCCCTCAAGACAACAACCCAAGAATAGAACATGACAGGGTAGGTGAACTAGCGGAATTGGTCTGGTCCCATTTGTCAGAAGAGCAGAATTCTCTGAGAATTTCGCTGAGAATGAATCCTTCATGGCTCAGTTGACAAAGGTGACTCGCTGGCTCATTTTCTATCCACTTTCCTTTGTAAAGACTTCGGTTCATTTCCTTTGAGAAAACAATACCACTCTCCTTGTTATTCTATTGTGAGCAGAAGAGTCCTCTTCATTATCCGAAGCAATTTCTCAGCACCTAATTAATATCTTGTTTTTACATCTGATCTCTTTTCTCTCATTTGTGCCCTTAGCCTTCTCTCTAAATTAAATTTTACACAATGAATACCGAAGGCTTTTCATAATCAATTGTCCTCTCTGAGATGGAGTCATTAAACCGCTCTCCCATCATCTCTCTAAATGCCATTGTTAGATTCACATCTATCATTTAGCAGAATTCCTATCTCCTCATACTTATGCTTTCCCCTGAAACACTGTCACTGAGTTCAAAGAGAATTTCCTGGGCACATGATCAGCAGCGTGCATCGCACAACAATGCAGGAGAGCACAATGCATGGTCTGTTCGGTCCTTGACGCCGAATGAGGTGATACTTATATGTGTTACCTACACATGAGTTAATGTGCTGAGCAGTACAGTGATTTGAAAGGATTTCCTATTATGCAATAAAATGAAATAGTGAAAAATTTAGCAAATAAGATGCCATCTTAAATACTTTCTAATTTATAAAAATGTCATTTTAAGTTGTTTAAATACCTGTCATTTAGCAGGAATACAGCAACAGAAATATATATATTCTGGTTATCCCTAAAGAAGTCACAAGTGTTCTGCCCTCTCCCCACCCCCAACTCCTAACTTGAATAATAAAGCAATTAAAAAATAAAGTTATAATGTCAGCAGGTATGAATGAGTCAAATTAGTGCCCAGTGTATGTTTCTGTTCTTCCACAGAAATCTTAAATTCAACATAAACAGATTCACTTAACAGCACTGACAATGTAAGGATTTTTAGTTGTGGTTATTAAGCCTCTTTACTAAATAATTCTCCTTTCATTATTGAGCTAGTTCGCAAATAACAGCTGTTGAAAATGTCAGATGTTAATGAGGCAGGGCAATGCAAACCTGAATTGTAGCATTCTTTTTTCTTCGTGCCGTGAATATGCCAGAATCGGCTGACTCTGATAATAATACCATCTTGCAATTCTCTAAGCACTCTGCAGCCCTAGAGTGCATCAGGCTGCCATTAATCCCACTTATCACTCTGACAGCTCAGTAATTACACCACTGCTGTAGCCAGGTAGTCCTAATAAAACAGCAGCCACCGCATGGGCATGCACACTGGAGAGAGGTTTTATTAAACTTGGTGGGGGCTGATCATCAAGTGACATTAGTGTTGACCTATTTTTCTATTTGACAATAAATTATCCTTTGACCATGCCATAAGAGATATTACAGAGTGCATTTACCACTGTACCAGACCAGAAAGGTACTGCATTACAATGATGTAGGAAAAGGGTGTAAATAAAAGAGCAGAAATGCACATCAGAATATTATTACCCAAATTGCTGTAAATGATTGATATCATGAAAAAAATCACAGACATAGTACTTAGGGGAATATGTCAACAATTATTGCAAACCACAGTTCTACATGAATTTTTTTCTTAGAAGTAACATTTAAATTACTCTTGTTTTTCTTTTCGGTCATTTAATTACCCTTCTATGTTTCAAAGTTACTCTAATGTAGTTTATTTTTAAATGCATTGCAAGAGTGAAACAATTATCTAATACTTTAATCCCCAAATAATTACATTTATACTAAGAGGAGCATATTAGAGATGTTTTAAAGCAATGAAAAATCTTAGATTCTTTTACTAGTGATAAACTTTTTTCATTTCCATATTTAATAGAGAGCATAACAATGAATTTAATTAAAAGAAAAATATGGAATCTTTAATAATGTTAATTCATGATTCAATATGACCATAAAAAAGATATGAAAACTTTAGTACTACTATTTAAGGGACAAAAATTATTGGAGATATATTTATCAATGATCTTTTTCTAGGAAAGAGAGCCTTGATTCCTGCTCCCAAATACAAGGGGCTGAACAGTTTCAGTCCACAGCCCAACACTTGCAGATGCTAGAGTGAGGGATGAGGTAAGCGGTGCCGCACCCCTCATGCATCTGAGAGCAGGTGCCTGCATCTTTTAGCGTCACCCACGGCAGCTGGAGTTACAACCTACGCTTGCTAAAAAATTTTCTAACCCATGGATTTAAAGAATAATTAATTTATTTCCCAGTTAAAAAAAAAAAAATCTATTTGAAAACCTTAAAACCTTATGTTGCATTTTCTTTATTTTTGTTTTGTTTTTTGCTAGACTTTGGTTCCATGAAGTCAGCACTGCTCATCATGCTATGCATAATTTATATGAGTCTGGATGCAACCCAACTGAGCAAGTTAGTATCTACATTAAAAAATTAAAATGTTGTCCTAATACTGATGTATTTCCGCAGCTCTTTGATGTTCTGTACCTTTATTTGGAATTTCTAAGTAACTGAGATGCAGCCTATGGTATAGGATCTGACTTCCCTACCCTAAAATCACCAGTGTAAATATGGAGTCTAACATCTTTCCCCACTCGGCAGTATTTCTACAGAAACTGCGCAGAACTGAGTATCAATAGGTTGAATGGAGGAGAGTGGATCAAGAAATGGAGGTTAGCAGTGTCACGCGTGTCTGAGTTCCTTGTGCCCAGATCCTGTCATAACAAGAGGACCCAAGAACGATAGCTGGTAACTGTGAACACATGGTGGGACTCCCCAATGTTCCGATACATTCACCAGTCAAGAGCCATTCTTAGCTTCCGGCAACCCCCACTCTGCACTATCCCACGAAGAGCCTTTCCGGTGCACTTTCTGACTGTGCTCTTCTGATGACAACGGTCCTCCAGCTCAGGGGTATTCAGAACCAACTCTGAATGTTTCTAATGTGCACCCTGGCCCGGCTTCTCCATTCTGCTGGGCGAGAAAGCTGAGGCAACATCATTAAAAGCCACTGAATTTTTTATGCTGTGCACCGTTCTGCCTTTCAAACGCTCCAATGATGTTCATGGTTAGGACTCTTAATATATATGTGAATGTGCAGGTTAATAGCAAAATGTAATTTTTAAATAGAGTTATTCATCTACCAGCC